TGCGCGGCGGGCCAGCCGCAGGGGTCGACCCACGGCTTGCGTTTAGTGTAAAAACTCAAACACAGTTTCAGAAAAGCTGATGAAACGCACAAACCAAACAGTACGGCGGCGTTTTAAAAACGCCGCCTGCACTTATAAGCTACCCCAAACGGACCCTTAGTATTTGCTCTTTAGATTACATTAAAGATATTTGAAAACTTTTGGGTAACTCACGTATTTTTATTAGTTAAATCATACATATCTAGTAGAACAATATTGATTTGTGGACGTACATATAATTGAAAATCATTCTAAGGACTGGGCAGTAGATTCTAAACATTGCACATCTAACGCCTGACCATGATTTTGGTTAAACCAAAAACATAGAAACTTCTGATCTGTTGGTTTTTAAAGCTTCCTTTAAAGTATATAAAGATGCTGTTAAACTTTTTCTATATGATGTGCTTGCATTTCCGTAAAGAAGGCTTCGTATTTTTTATGGGATTCCAATAATTTTTTCTCATTTTCAGGTGCAAGAGGAGGTGCAAAATGCATTCAAACATCATGTGCACTCAGTTACCAGGTCAATTTTGCTTTAGTTACCAAATTGTTGGCATATATAGCATTTTTGTTGGTGTCTGTATGCATAATTCATTTATGCATTTGATAACCTTCTGCCACATATCTTTCACTAGATAAATTAAATGATGAACTTCTCTTTGTGGAAACATTCTATTATTTATGCTTTCACTGTAATGCTTCATTATGTTTTGGCTGTTTATTTTGATGCACAGATAGCAACCTAGAAAATATAAATAAAATATTCTGTTTACTGTAAATCCTTATTTGTATTCTTTATATTATCAAACAGTTTGTAAATTGTGCTGTTTCCTGCAGTAGAATACTGCCTACAACTCTGACCGAGCCCAATGTTAGCAGACTATTTCAGCTTCATTTCCATAATACTTTACCTCAAACAATTTACACGGGCAGTAGAATAGAAGCTGAGGGTGGAGTTCCTCTTCAGGTTCTGATTGTAGATGTTGTCTCAAAATCAATCGTCACTTCTGGTCCTTTCGCATCAGCCAAAATTGAGATTCTCGCTTTGGATGGAGACTTTGGTGATGAGGATGATTGGTCCGAGAAGCATTTTGTTGATAATATAGTACGCGAGCGTGATGGAAAAAGGCCGCTGCTATCTGGAGAGCTGATAATTACGCTGAGCCAAGGAGTTGGATATGTTAATGATGCTTCTTTCACTGATAATTCCAGTTGGATAAGAAGCAGAAAGTTCAGATTAGGAGCACGAGTTTGCTCAAGTAAATTGATGGAAGGAAGAATTCGAGAGGCAAAAAGTGAAGCCTTTTTAGTGAAGGATCATCGTGGGGAATGTAAGTTGATACTTTCAGAATTATTAATATTCTTAAATGTAGGATTTCTGAGAACTCATTTAAATGAAAATTGAGTTTTTAACGCAAATTACATTTTCAATGTACAAAATGTTGCATGGACAGACTGATCAAGCTTGTTCAAAACATACATATAACTCTCACACAGGCACATACTATCAGTAATCTATCACATACTATTGCATTTAAAATATAAGTTTTCCACTCCTATCTATCTATTGAAGCATCATAGGCATATGCAAAATAATCAAAATTTCTGTAATAATAGATAGGCCTTTGTATAACCAGAAGTGGCTACTCAGAAAAACAAGGACCGAATAGCTCTAGCTCTGTCTTCCAATACAAACAAGCCGGCGTGTCCGGGGAGCAAACTACGTAAAGGTCAACTCGTAGCATTAGATGATTGGGTAGAAGTCGGCCACGTACTCTCGGACCTAGTACAAATCGTTGATTACGAAAGGCCAAGTATAGAGAGCAGAGTACAAGAATCACCAGAGGTAGAAAATCTCCCGCATTCGCTAAAGTATTCAGCTGGAAGAGGAACTCTTCAAGACCTAGTTTTAGGCGAGATATGACCAACAAGACAACCATATATGTCTAGAGGTCTAGTAATGATACCGTCTAACTAACTATTTTTTAAAGACCAACTCCTATAAATAGAGGGTATTAAATGTAAACCGGGATTTTCCACATTTTTCACTTACAAGGGAGCCAAGGAAAGAACCTTATAATTGTCATCATCCTAGTTTTACTTGCTTTAACTCAGCTGCTCCAATCTCTCTCCTGCTCTCTCTCTTTTCCTTCACTCTATTCCATAGGTGTGATTTAAGGACAAATCTGGGTTCAACATTCTTAAAAGATGCGACGAGCGTGGAGCATGTCACAAATAGAAAGCAAAGCTATGCAAGGTGAAGAACTAACTCATAGAGAAGTCAAAAGTAGCATGAACTACACTAGAAAATTTTTAACCCATCAGATAAATGAGTTCAAAGAGTTTATAATGGAACTAATAGAGGAACACCTGCTCAAGATGACGTTACCACGGTAGCCGACAACCACTGAAGGGGTGATCTCATCGTTAACCCCCTTCACTGATCCCAGGCATACTATCTCAACAACATGGGCTTGACCCTGTCTGATCACAACAAATGAAGGCATGCTGAGACCCCATGGCCTTGTCAGCTGGAGAATGCCTTCTTCAAGGAGACCTCTGAAACTGAAGTTCGTGAGAGCTTCAAGATCTCTTCTTTGGAACCTTACCGAGGACGATCACACCCTTGCAATCATGTCGCGTCTTTCGAATTTAATGTGTTTGTTGAGAATAAATGATGCATTTAAGTGTTAGCTCCTTTCATGGCTCTAAAGGAGACCACCCTTTGAAGGTTGAACAACTAGCTATTAATAGTAATTAACTCTTTTGTAGAGTTCAATAGGATGTTCATAGTGCAAATTCGCCATTATGCATATGCCCCACAAAAGTTTGGAGTCACTACTACAACTATACCATGAGTACAAAGAGTTCTTCCGTGTTTTTATTAGTCGCTTCCCAAAAGGGATGCTAGAAATAAGAGATCTAAAACCTACAATTGCACTTGCTTTCCTAACTCAGGGGTTGAGAGAGGGCCCATTCCGCTAAGTGTTGGGTCTATAGTGTCTGAATATGTTAGACGAGCTATTGGAAACTTACCAACAATCACATATCAGTGGAAGAGTACAATTCACTCTTGGCCTATCCTAACGACGACTATCCTCTGTCAAGATTGATCTCAGTAATGAGTTTTCTTGATGTGTTCTATAGATACCACCAAATCAAAATGGACCATGTGGATGTTGAAAAAACTACATTCATCACTAAAGGATAATGGATGCATTATTTGATAATAAAAAAATGACAATTTGTTGGTTAGACACCCATCCTTATTCACTTGAACCTTATATTTCAAATTTGGAAGAAACTTGTGGCATTTATCAAGGACACGAACAAATATCTTACAGTGGGTACAATATGGGGGTCTGTGCTCCATGACGATTTGTTGTCAATAACCATTATGGGTTGTGCCCAACCAGACTTCAGTAACATCAGGTAAAGTAATATCCCTTTCCATAAGTATTCTGGCCACCGAGGGTCTGGTTAGGTGGAAAGTAGACAAATTTAGTTTCAAAGGATCCCTAAGGATGACCTCAATAGAGTAGAGAATCTGATGGTGAAAAAAATGCAACTCGAAACCAGGTAAACTAAATCATACCGGTACAGTGGGAGTTTCATGATTTAGGTCGAAATCAAGAGACCACTTGAGTAGCTTCATAGGTTTACCAGCAATATTAAGATATTTTTTGGAGAAAATCTGAGTGTAGTTTTCAGGCACGGTTAACTGAATCAAAACATGTCTCCCATCCATGAGCCCCACTTTCGACTTTCCTGCTAATTTGAGGTCATCAAAACTTTTCCTGATAACCTCCATAGGTGGGTATCCCTACTGAAATTTCTTAATGAGAGCAAACTTGAATTTGTCAGTCAGGATTGAAATTTTTGACTCTGAGAAAAAGTGCTGCCTTCCGACTTTCTTGCTTGCATGCTTAATAAAGGGGCAGCCACCTGTACCATCACGTTTCTTTTTATAAATTGAGGGAATACAACTACCGTCTCTTCTTGAGGATTAACCACAACGTGGGCAAAGGAGGCCGAAGAGGTCGGGGCGCTTAAACCGCAGATGAGCTCTGACAGAGTCGAAAGCTCATTTCGACAAAGCTGCGCAAGAGAACCGCAGTAAGTTGATGCCGCAGAAAGCCGCAGATGCGAACTGTCGGGCGCAGACGCGTGAAAGGCTGTGATGCGAATTATTGTAGGGCACAGACGCAAACGACTTTATCCTATGTTCCCGCACGCGATCCCTTTTCTTTTCTTCTTCGGCACTCGGCTAGGGCGTTACCATCTGCGGCTTGCTCGATTCAAGTGCTTCTGCTCTTCCTCCTGTCTCTTCTTCGACGCTCAAATATATATATATATATATATAGGTTTATTATTGTTGTTGCTACTAATGTAGGTTTGGGATTTGCATCCTTCATCTTTTCATTATGTGAGCGGGCACGTGTTAGATTCGATAGCTGGAAAGAGATACTATAGCCTCTAAAGCCCATTACAAGTGTTGATGTGAAGTCTTATTCACAACACTTCATATTTGGTTGGAGAGGAGAATTTTCTAGCAATTTAGGTGCCTCTAGTTTTCATGCTTCTACCTCACGTGCATCCACATCACAAAGTCAAACTTCTAGTTCTGATTTGCAGTCACATTTATTGCAAAGGAGTCTAGATAACATCAATTATACTATGGACAAAGTATTAAATATAGAGAATTTTGTAGATCATATGAATGGATATACTGAAGACATAGCAATTATGAGGAGAAATTTTGCTTATCTTTGGTAAACCTTATGAGAGGTGACCAAAGTGTAGTTTTCCCTTCATATCCACGATATCCATCACATGAGCCTACTGCCTTTTGAGATACCAATGATAGTCATGTGGATGAGGAGGAGGAGAATTAAACAAAGTATTTTAGTTTATTTTTTTATTATTATTGTTTTGAACTTTATGTGGTACAGTTATATTGTACCCGGTAAACCCCTCAAAACTGACACGCCTACAGTGAATCTAACTCGACCTTCAGAAGCCAGAATTTGGATAGAAAGGGATATTACGTAGAAAGGGATATTACTTTATCTTTTCCGGGAGAAATATGGATTGACACACAACATCAGGGATTTTGGCAACACAGAACTTGAACAAATACCACTTTATTGTACCACTGACGTATGTTTGGACATTCTCATTCTCAATGTTATCAGTTGCATCCAAATTTAAAATCTTCAAGTAAAAATGTTTCTGGACCTGCCCCACCTCATACATGTCCCTCCTCCGCTCCTGAGTGCATTCCACAAAATATTGAAACACCGGTTGACACGATGCCACCTCCACCTCCCACTATCGGAGACAATACTCTCTCTGTTCTTTTGACTGATATATTGGTAGATGATTTACTTGGGTTTGATAATCAGGATAGTATTGAAGCTCCACATCCTCAGGATGCTTCAGGTGTTGAAGAGACATGCTTACCATCTCTCCAGAATCAGAATGTTGTTACTGCTAGTCAGGAGCTGGGGGCTCATTCTCTCATACATGCCCAACAATCCGTTGACCACACCTATCAGATGAGCCAGTCCTCGGATGAGTCGGATGAGGAATGACAGGTCTAAACATCTAAAAAGAAAAAGAAGAATGGAGGCACACCCAGTTTGGGAAATTAATGGATGATACTCTAGTAACTTCGGGTAATGGAACGACACTCAGTAATTTGTTAGCTGTCTCCGGTCCTGGAACCAGAGGCTGAGGCAAAACCAAGTCGGCTCCGGCCTAGCAGGTTATTTCCTGTAAGTTTTGTTTTTTTGTGTTTAATCTATGTTTCATCCTTTTAGGATGCTAGTGTCTGATGTATTGTATGGGTATGGCACTTTTTTTTGGGTCCTCTCATACAACCTCTATGTATCTTTTCAATTTCAACTCGGAGATGCTAACGGCTATATATATATATAGAAAAAATTTTTGAAGCTGAGAAAAAAATGTCTCAATCGCAAATGAGGATTTCCAGCACATCCTTCGTGTGTTGAACACGAACGCAGATGGGAATAAGAAGATCATGTTTGCTCTCACTTCCATCAAGGGTATTCGCCGCCGTTTTGCCAACATCGTCTGCAAGAAGGCCGATGTCAGCATGAACAAGAGAGTCGGTGAACTCTCTGCTGCTGAACTTGAGAATCTCATGACTGTAGTTGCAAATCCACGCCAATTCAAAATCCTAGATTTGTTTAAGGATTACAAGGATGGTCGGTACTCACAAGTGGTTTCAAATGCATCGGACATGAAACCGAGGGATGATCTCAAAAGATTGAAGAAGATCAGAAATCATCAGGGCCTGCGTCATTATTGGGGGCATCGTGTTCGTGGGCAGCATACGAAGATTATTGGGAGGAGAGGAAAGACTCTCGGCGCGTCGAAGAAGCGTTGATTCTCCACCTCGTTGCTGCTTTTGCTTCTACTACATTGTTATGTTGTCTCTCCATTGGATCTTGAAACTAAAATTTTGGGTGACTTAAAAAATATTTTCAGCATTTACTTTTCTTGTAGTTTTGCATTATTATATTACTATTTCAAGGATAATATAAAGAGAGAGAGAGAGAGAGAATCTCGTAGGGAATTTTATTGGTATCAGGTAAAAAATTACATAGGAGTGGAGGTAGATCATTCTAAACCCAAAATACGATTCATATAAAGAAAAAAACCAAGGTTCCACCTCTAGAGAATACAAAACAACCCAAATGAAACTCCAAAAATTATAACTCTACCCAATATCCAAATTCCACAAAAAAATAGTAGAAAAACCAACAAAAAATGTAGCCCTATCTCAGTTTGGAGCATACTTACACCTTAAATGGGGCATATTTAACAAATCACTTTTCAACAATATGCAGAGGGCAGGAGGGGAGATACCCACAGCAGGATCCACACTTTGGGAACCATTAACCGCAAGCCAATGGGCAAGGGAATTCCCCTCCCTAGGAATAAATCTCCAAAGTATGTAAATTCCCTTAGTCAGCGCCAGGGTAAGCTTTAGTAGACCCAGTAAATACCCAGGAGTGGGCTTTCTAAGCTTCAAATAATTGATTAGCTCAACACAGAATGATTCAACATAAATGTAATTCCAATTTAACAGAGATGCAATTTTAATCGCATAACATACAACCCACAGCTCAGCAACAATAGGAGACTCGACATAAATCGGTACAGAAAAGAAACATATCAAATTGCCATCCCCACCTCTAAAGACACCACCAGCACCAGTGCCCCTAGGGGACCGGCTCCTTCAAAATTTACTTTTAGCCACAGGCCCAAAGGTTTCCTCCAAACAACCTATTTGACAAATTTTAATTCCTGCTTACCATAGCAATCCTGCAGTTGCACAGTAGAAGGGTTAGTTCCAGCAAAGTAACTACTTTTAAAACCTCAATAAACAAAAAGTTTTTGAGAATAGACAATAACATTAGTTGCAACCCCATGAAATTGAACCACATCCTCATTAAATTTAGCGTTGTTTCTAGCCATCCATAGGGACCAAAAGACAATATAAGGGACAGTATACAAAATGTGATTAGATGGTTTCCTCCAATAAGCTAGACAGTCCTGCATATTACGCCAACCCAGCCCAGAAATTTTGTAACCCAACATAACCCCCAATTTATCCCACACCTCCAAAGCAAAAAAAGTATTTGAAAAACAAGGGACCAACATCCTCCTCCTCAGTTTTACGGAGAATGCATTGTTATGGCAATTTTAAATCCTTAAGTTTAAGAATATCATCAAAAGGCACTAATTGAGAGTATAGCCTCCACAGGAAAAAAGATATCGAGGGAGGGGTTGCCTTGCCCCAAATTTCCTTACCCCAATCCTTGCCACTCCAAGAATGAAAACTACGATTAATACTTTTTGATAGAGAAGATGAGGTAGATAACTTTGTAAATATTATATCTTTCCTGTTAGTATCTAATGGGATCTTGTAAATGGCATTAGCACAAACCTCTCCCACCTTCTCCCTAAGGAGAGGAAGGTTCCATTGGTTATTTCACCAAAAATCAGCCACCCTGCAGTTACCAACATCCTTCTTGTAAATAGAGGACAAATCCTCCATGCACCAATGATCATGCCAAAAGGAAATATTTCCTTTTCCTAGATCCCAAAAAATATACTTAACAGCCTCATCCCTAGCTTTAAGATGGAGGGAACTCTGCTAGGGCAATGACGATTTGGAGGATATTTTTTGGGTTTTAATCGGAGGAGTTGTTTGGCATGGGTATAGATGGAGAAGTCCTTTGCGGAGGTTTTGTCGGGAGCTGGTGCCAAGGGGACTGTTGACTCTTAGAGCTTTGTGTTTCCTCAATCATACCATAACACACTTGAAGGGGCGAGGTGAGGCCTTTTGTGTGGAAGGTTGGCGGTCATAAGAAGAAAAGATCAACGGCGCAAAGAATAACCTAGGAACTGCACGTCGCGGGAGAGAAATTCCTCGAACCGTTAACCTTGTACGATTATCTTCTTACTCCGAGAATTTGTAATAAAAAGATAGTTGATTTTGACGACGTTTTTATTGTTTCTAGTGATCATGTAACTAACATCCAATCTAATTCGAATTTCAATCCTTATGATGATCCTCAAATCATACGAAATCCCACCGAACTCGTTAATATGACTAGTGAAGATGCAAACGATACAGGCTATGATAGTGAAGGAAGTGAAACACCCTCCTTCAAATTCCAAGGAAATCCGATAGCAATTGAATTGGAAGCTTCAGATTTAGAAACATTTTTGGAAGAATGGGTAGCTGTGTCAAAAGAGAAACCTCTGGGTCCAGTTCAGGAGACACAAGAAATAACATAAGTGTATTTGAGAAGAGGAAAATGATTACCCCCAGTAACGGATTCGGGAGTAAAAGGAAAACAAATACTTACCTATAATGAGACAACTCCGCCAGTGGAAGAATTACCTGCCCAAGAAGAAATTGGAGGTATGAATAATAAAGTGGAGTATAACGTTCTGGCCCATCATAGGAAGTTACCAGCCAAACTAAGTATTTACGATGCTCTGATCCTGTCAAAGGAGATGAGAGAGGCTTTGATCAAGGCTCTACTTGATTCGGAAATTTGCTTAGCTCATTTGGCCAACAACTCCTTGGATGAAGCTTGTTCGTTAAAGGAACAACCCAGTGTGACTTTCACAGACGAAGATTTGTTGCTTGACACTGCCGACCATAACCGACCTTTGTATATTTCAGTAAATATTGGAAGATTCACGCTCTCAAGGATGTTAGTGGATCCAGGAGCGTCAATTAACATAATGAATCTGCAGACTTTAGCCTATTTAGATATTGACATCCATAAGCTCTCCACCGATAAAATGATGTTAAGAGGATTCAACCAAGGGCTTCTGGATCCATAACACTATCCATGAGGATCGGTGATCTAGATCTAGTCACAACCGCAAAGTTTCATATCATTGATTCAGAAACTTCTTCAATGCCCTACTAGGCCGACCTTGGATTCATGAATATAAGATGGTCCCTTCGTCGTTGCACCAGTGCATAAAGTATTTTGAAGGACAAGAGCGGTGCATAAAAGGGGATTTGCAACCATTTTTCGGTACATGAGATCGGGATTCATGAAGATGCTGCTTACTACGCTCTCGTAAAGAAGAGAGTCTTCTCCAGAGACGCTGTGCCAAATAGAGATGAAGATCTAAAACTACTACAAGAGCCGAATAGTTGGGTGTCGGTTCAACGATCTTCCACCATTTCTCCGAAACGAGAAGATGGAAACTCTTTTAGTGATCACATTTGAGATCAAGGCCGGGGACGAGGATGAGGAAGAGTTAGGAGGATTATTGAACAAAGGAATCTGACTATCAATATTGAGTTAGAAGAAAGTTCAGAAGAAGAAAATATCAGAAAGAATGCAATGATGATACGCCAGAAGGCGCCGCTTTTCGAGATTTCTTTGGAAAAAGATGATGAAATGGATGACAAAGGATTATTGAACAAAAGAATCAACCACTACGTGTAGACCATGACTTTAACCCCGATTCATTCTCATAAAATAGAGGGTTTGGAGGTTAAGGTAGTGCGTTGTGTGGGTTTAAAACCAATAAAGTTTTATCGTGGTTTTTCTACTTCCAATCCTAAAATCGATGTAAATTTGGAAGATGTTTTAAATGAATTGTGTTAAAAAACGTGCTTAGTGTGGTTTAATACCAGGACAGTTGTCAAAAGACAGGTTACGCCTCTTCGAGGAATTATGGAACGCTAAAAGTCAAAACTCTAAATCAAAAGAAGGTCTTGGTTTCGGCACGGTAGGGCCGGTCAGTGATACAAAATTTTGTCTGGTTGTTACTAGTGATCCCAATGAATATTGCTTTGAAGAAGAACCTGAGGAATCTAAAATACAAGATGCCTCTCCAGAATTTGAAGAGGAAATTAAGTCAACTGTTGATGAGTTAAAAGAGATAAATCTAGAGTTAGAGGAAGATCCTAGACCTACCTTCATAAGTTATTTGCTCAGTAATGAAGAATTCAAAAATCTAATCAAGTTGTTGGCAGAGTTCAAGGATTGTTTTGCTTGGAGTTATGATGAGGAGCCAGGTCTAGCACCAGAAGTTGCAGTTCATAAATTCGGAATAGACCCTTCCATGGCTCCAGTAAAGCAAGCTCCCAGGAGGATGCGCCTTGAAATTGAGCAACAAGTTACCGCCGAGACTAAGAAATTAATAGAAGCTAACTTTGTACGAGAAGAGCAATATCCAACAGGGTTAGCCAACATAGTATCAGTTAGAAAGAAGAATGGTCAGATCCGGATCTGCGTAGATTTCAGAGACTTAAATAAAGCATGCCCGAAGGATGAGTTCCCATTACTAATTCCAGAGCTAATGGTAGACATTGCATCATCACACGTAATTTTCTCATGCTGAGGGTTCTAGTCATTATGGCAGACCACTGGTGGTCAGTACAACATGTCCAATAGAACCCAGTTGAGACGACTGATATGTTAGGGCCGTCAGACTCGGTAGAGCGCCAACCCAGTGCGGCAAAGGTCCTAATCTGGGAGGCTAATCATCCCCAACCTCATGACGTGTGGCCGGAGAAGTTGGTGGAAGAAATGACAGTGATTCGAGCTCGAGAGGCCGTTCCTCAAGAGGAAGTGTCGATGCTTTGAGCTAAAATGTTGGCTATCTGGGAGGCGATCTTGGTCTCCTTGATTCAATCTGAAATAGATAGGGTAGGTTAAGCTTAGATTAGGGGGAGAATTAGCGTACATACGGTTTTCTCAACTGGGTTATGTCTCGATTGAGGCGACCACCAATGGTTTTATTAACTATTTTATTTCAAGCTAATTAATTGTAACAGGGTAACTTCAGAATGTAAATAATATTTTTTTTAAAAGAAAATTTATTTTTTTTAAATATTAT